ACAGTTCAGTACTCTTTTTTTTGTTTCTCTTGTGCCAAGTCTCTTCTTCATCTGTGAGGAGATTGTCCAGCATTCACTGCCATATAGGAGGACTGATATTACATAACAGTTCAGTACTCTTTTTCTTTTGTTTCTCTTGTGCCAAGTCTCTTCTTCATCTGTGAGAAGATTGTCCAGCATTCACTGCCATATAGGAGGACTGATATTACAAAACAGTTCAGTACTCTTTTCTTTGTTTCTCTTGTGCCAAGTCTCTTCTTCATCTGTGAGAAGATTGTCCAGCATTCACTGCCATATAGGAGGACTGATATTACATAACAGTTCAGTACTCTTTTCTTTGTTTCTCTTGCTTCAAGTCTCTTCTTCATCTGTGAGAAGATTGTCCAGCATTCACTGCCATATAGGAGGACTGATATTACATAACAGTTCAGTACTCTTTTCTTTGTTTCTCTTGTGCCAAGTCTCTTCTTCATCTGTGAGGAGATTGTCCAGCATTCACTGCCATATAGGAGGACTGATATTACATAACAGTTCAGTACTCTTTTCTTTGTTTCTCTTGTGCCAAGTCTCTTCTTCATCTGTGAGAAGATTGTCCAGCATTCACTGCCATATAGGAGGACTGATATTACATAACAGTTCAGTACTCTTTTCTTTGTTTCTCTTGCTGCCAAGTCTCTTCTTCATCTGTGAGAAGATTGTCCAGCATTCACTGCCATATAGGAGGACTGATATTACATAACAGTTCAGTACTCTTTTCTTTGTTTCTCTTGCTTCAAGTCTCTTCTTCATCTGTGAGAAGATTGTCCAGCATTCACTGCCATATAGGAGGACTGATATTATATAACAGTTCAGTACTCTTTTTTTTTGTTTCTCTTGTGCCAAGTCTCTTCTTCATCTGTGAGGAGATTGTCCAGCATTCACTGCCATATAGGAGGACTGATATTACATAACAGTTCAGTACTCTTTTCTTTGTTTCTCTTGCTTCAAGTCTCTTCTTCATCTTTGAGGAGATTGTCCAGCATTCACTGCCATATAGGAGGACTGATATTACATAACAGTTCAGTACTCTTTTTTTCTTTGTTTCTCTTTGCCAAGTCTCTTCTTTATCTGTGAGGAGATTGTCCAGCATTCACTGCCATATAGGAGGACTGATATTACATAACAGTTCAGTACTCTTTTCTTTTGTTTCTCTTGCTTCAAGTCTCTTCTTCATCTTTGAGGAGATTGTCCAGCATTCACTGCCATATAGGAGGACTGATATTACATAACAGTTCAGTACTCTTTTCTTTTGTTTCTCTTGTGCCAAGTCTCTTCTTCATCTGTGAGGAGATTGTCCAGCATTCACTGCCATATAGGAGGACTGATATTACATAACAGTTCAGTACTCTTTTCTTTGTTTCTCTTGCTTCAAGTCTCTTCTTCATCTTTGAGAAGATTGTCCAGCATTCACTGCCATATAGGAGGACTGATATTACAAAACAGTTCAGTACTCTTTTCTTTGTTTCTCTTGTGCCAAGTCTCTTCTTCATCTGTGAGAAGATTGTCCAGCATTCACTGCCATATAGGAGGACTGATATTACATAACAGTTCAGTACTCTTTTCTTTGTTTCTCTTGTGCCAAGTCTCTTCTTCATCTGTGAGAAGATTGTCCAGCATTCACTGCCATATAGGAGGACTGATATTACATAACAGTTCAGTACTCTTTTTTTGTTTCTCTTGCTTCAAGTCTCTTCTTCATCTTTGAGGAGATTGTCCAGCATTCACTGCCATATAGGAGGACTGATATTACATAACAGTTCAGTACTCTTTTTTTTTGTTTCTCTCTTGTGCCAAGTCTCTTCTTTATCTGTGAGGAGATTGTCCAGCATTCACTGCCATATAGGAGGACTGATATTACATAACAGTTCAGTACTCTTTTCTTTTTGTTTCTCTTGTGCCAAGTCTCTTCTTCATCTGTGAGGAGATTGTCCAGCATTCACTGCCATATAGGAGGACTGATATTACATAACAGTTCAGTACTCTTTTTTCTTTGTTTCTCTTGTGCCAAGTCTCTTCTTCTTTATCTGTGAGGAGATTGTCCAGCATTCACTGCCATATAGGAGGACTGATATTACATAACAGTTCAGTACTCTTTTCTTTTGTTTCTCTTGTGCCAAGTCTCTTCTTCATCTGTGAGAAGATTGTCCAGCATTCACTGCCATATAGGAGGACTGATATTATATAACAGTTCAGTACTTTTTTTCTTTGTTTATCTTGTGCCAAGTCTCTTCTTCATCTGTGAGGAGATTGTCCAGCATTCAATGCCATATAGGAAGACTGATATTACATAACAGTTCAGCACTCTTTTCTTTGTTTCTCTTGCTTCAAGTCTCTTCTTCATCTGTGAGAAGATTGTCCAGCATTCACTGCCATATAGGAGGACTGATATTATATAACAGTTCAGTACTCTTTTCTTTGTTTCTCTTGTGCCAAGTCTCTTCTTTATCTGTGAGGAGATTGTCCAGCAATCACTGCCATATAGGAGGACTGATATTACATAACAGTTCAGTACTCTTTTCTTTGTTTCTCTTGCTTCAAGTCTCTTCTTCATCTTTGAGGAGATTGTCCAGCATTCACTGCCATATAGGAGGACTGATATTACATAACAGTTCAGTACTCTTTTCTTTGTTTCTCTTGTGCCAAGTCTCTTCTTTATCTGTGAGGAGATTGTCCAGCAATCACTGCCATATAGGAGGACTGATATTACATAACAGTTCAGTACTCTTTTCTTTGTTTCTCTTGCTTCAAGTCTCTTCTTCATCTTTGAGGAGATTGTCCAGCATTCACTGCCATATAGGAGGACTGATATTACATAACAGTTCAGTACTCTTTTTCTTTGTTTCTCTTGTGCCAAGTCTCTTCTTTATCTGTGAGGAGATTGTCCAGCAATCACTGCCATATAGGAGGACTGATATTACATAACAGTTCAGTACTCTTTTTCTTTGTTTCTCTTGCTTCAAGTCTATTCTTCATCTTTGAGGAGATTGTCCAGCATTCACTGCCATATAGGGAGGACTGATATTACATAACAGTTCAGTACTCTTTTCTTTGTTTCTCTTGTGCCAAGTCTCTTCTTCATCTGTGAGGAGATTGTCCAGCATTCACTGCCATATAGGAGGACTGATATTACATAACAGTTCAGTACTCTTTTTCTTTTTGTTTCTCTTGTGCCAAGTCTCTTCTTTATCTGTGAGGAGATTGTCCAGCATTCACTGCCATATAGGAGGACTGATATTACATAACAGTTCAGTACTCTTTTCTTTGTTTCTCTTGCTTCAAGTCTCTTCTTTATCTGTGAGGAGATTGTCCAGCATTCACTGCCATATAGGAGGACTGATATTACATAACAGTTCAGTACTCTTTTCTTTGTTTCTCTTGTGCCAAGTCTCTTCTTTATCTGTGAGGAGATTGTCCAGCATTCACTGCCATATAGGAGGACTGATATTACATAACAGTTCAGTACTCTTTTCTTTGTTTCTCTTGTGCCAAGTCTCTTCTTCATCTGTGAGGAGATTGTCCAGCATTCACTGCCATATAGGAGGACTGATATTACATAACAGTTCAGTACTATTTTCTTTTTGTTTCTCTTGCTGCCAAGTCTCTTCTTCATCTGTGAGGAGATTGTCCAGCATTCACTGCCATATAGGAGGACTGATATTACATAACAGTTCAGTACTCTTTTCTTTTGTTTCTCTTGTGCCAAGTCTCTTCTTTATCTGTGAGGAGATTTTCCAGCATTCACTGCTATATAGGAGGACTGATATTACATAACAGTTCAGTACTCTTTTCTTTGTTTCTCTTGTGCCAAGTCTCTTCTTTATCTCTGAGGAGATTGTCCAGCATTCACTGCCATATAGGAGGACTGATATTACATAACAGTTCAGTACTCTTTTCTTTGTTTCTCTTGTGCCAAGTCTCTTCTTTATCTCTGAGGAGATTGTCCAGCATTCACTGCCATATAGGAGGACTGATATTACAGTTCAGTACTTTTCTCTTTGTTTCTGAACTAGTAAGTGTTCTTTTAAAGCAAACTAAAATCTTGTTTGATTGTGAGGCTCTCCATAGCCGAGCAGTGAAAGCACATCAGATCAGATGGTGGTTCCTCCTGCAAAGGAGGACGTAGATTCAGATTCTGCTGGTGGGGACATTTTTTTTATTTTGTTTTCTCAATTACGTAGCCCATAGACAAAATATATACTGTTTAAAATAAACGGAGCATCTATTCAAATCTGGGTATTCACCAAAAGTAACATTGGATTAGGGTGCCTCTGCACCTTTTCTATAAATACTTTCATGGTAATTGTTTGAATGAGCTCTTCACTATGGTACCTAGACTTTATGAATTGAAGCGCTCGACTGGCAACAAGGTTTTACCTATTTACAGTTGAACTGGCTAGATGTCGCCACAAGTTCTGTGAAATTTTGAATGGATTTGTTTCATAAATCCTAGCCATAATATTCCAGGTTCCATAAAGAGCTAGTATTCAAAACATTTCTAATGCATTCCTATAGTAAAATCATTTGCAATGAATTTCTATAGATGCTTTTAATATTTGCTATATCACTAGATATAGAATCATTAGAGGGAATGAAAGTTTGGATGGATTTGTTTCATAAATCCTAGCCATAATATTCCAGGTTCCATAAAGAGCTAGTATTCAAAACATTTCTAATGCATTCCTAGAGTAAAATCATTTGCAATGAATTTCTATAGATGCTTTTAGTATTTGCTATATCACTAGATATGGACTCATTGGAGGGAATGAAAGTTTGGATGGATTTGTTTCATAAATATACCTGTGATCTTCCAGGTAGTATAAAGAATTATTGCTATTAATATATTCATGATTTATGGGTAATTGTCTTTTGGAGATGTGTTTGCATAATTTGAATGATGGCTGATTTCATTTGTGGAATATCAACTGCAAATGTTATTTAGTACTTTTTTTGTTTTTTGACAGTTGATTAACATGCTGACAGAGAAATGTCATGAGTTGGAAGATAGCCTGACCGTTTTCCAACAGCGAGAAAATGAATTTGAAGACAAATTACATGAAAATGAAATTTTTCAAAGTCAGATAGAAAAGCATAAGTGAGTATTATGTCTTGATTGAAAGAAAAATACATGGAAGGAAAAAATAAATAAAATAATAAATATATATATATATATATATATATATATATATAAATGTTCAGTTAAGAATTCCCTTTAGGTTACCCAGATCTCTCTCTCTCTCTCTCTCTCTCTCTCTCTCTCTCTCACACACACACACACTTCTCACCTTATATATATATATATATATATAATAAAAAAGGCTTAAACACTAATATTCTATTAAAAAAAAAAACGTCTCTGTTAAGTTTTAATCACCCACCTTCTCTTGTCTGTTACCCCTCTCTTTAACACTAACATTTGTCGCACACTCTCATACTTACACTCTCTCTAAATTCTATTTTTATTTCCGGAGTTGTTTTTTTCTGTTTTCTTTTTGAATTTGTAGGTCTGATGAATTGGATCATATTTACGATTCCAATGGAATAAATTATGACCATGGAATATTAGTGTTTAAGCCTTTTTATTATATCCTTACTCTGTCCTGGACATTGAGTTCTACCTGGATTCTATCCTCTCAGAATTTTTTACCTATATATATATAATAAAGAAAAAACTTAAAAATCAGTAGTAAATTTATAAGCATATTCATCTGATCAGACTGACTACATTTTATAAAATGCCTTGAGATTATATTAGGCCTCACACTTTCACTCAATCTCAAGTGGAACTCTTATATATGATTCATCACTAAATTTTCTAAACCCCTCTTAGATGTGGCACAAGTATGGAGCACCCAGTGAGGATCGAACTCACTACTCAGTTGTAACTGATTTAGCAAGACAAGCTTTCTAACCATTACACCACATCATGATGCCCAAAGTGATTTCCCAAGCATAGCTTGGATGTGGCACAAGACCGAAAATATGGGGCACCCAGTGAGGATCAAACTCACTACTCAGATGTAATTGTTCTAGCCAGACAAGCTTGTTAACCATTACACCGCCTTGAGGTGCCTAACTTGCATATATATATATATATATATATATAATAATTAAGAAAAACCTTAAAAATCAGTAATAAATTTATTTCTATGAATATAAGCATATTCATCTCATCAGACTGACTACATTTTATAAAATGCCTTTAGATTATATTAGGCCTCAAACTCACACTCAACCTCAAGTGAAACCGTTATATATGATCCATCACTAAAGTTGCAGGTAAAATGATCGGCTCCTTGTACCAGTCCAGTAAGTACCTGACTCCACATGCTTTCCTCTACCTTTACAAGGGCCAGATCAGGCCCAAAATGGAGTCATCACTTGCTAGTCTTGATACAGTTCAGAAGTGTCTCCAAGTCCTTGTTGGAGAAGAATTATTTTCCACCCTCCAACCTTTCTCTCTCACAGGCAGGATGTGGTAGAAAGTGCTCAGAAGAACTACATTCCTTGGTTCCACCAACTCTAACCACTATGTCCAGGACCCACCATGCCTCTTACACTGTATCAAACCACCCACATTCCCCCCGTATTCTATCAGCGAGAAGTTTCGCTCAAACAGCTTCTTCCCACAGACAACTCTCAAAAGGATTTTTCCCCAATCATTACAATCTTCACCTGTTCAGGTAACAGTTATCTTCCCCTGCTATCCATACAGAGGAATCTTACGGTAAAAAAAAAAAAATTAGATCCTTTTTGTGTTCATATTGAATCTTGCCACAATGTTAATTGCTCCTTTCTCACCCCTCAGCTATGGGTTAAACAACAGAAATTGTAAGATCAAGAAATACTTGCTTCTATGTAGCTTAACTCTTCTGATTTTGATTTGATAAATTTGTAATTAATTGCAGAGAGGAAACAGAAACTATCAAGAATTCTTTGAAAGACGCTCAAGGAAAACTTGAAGAAACCCAGAAGGAAACGGCATTACTCAAAGCACAAAACACAAAAATTGAAGAAATCTTAAAGGATGCTGCAGATGCCATCAAAAACGCTCTATCTGTAAGTTAACAGAAAGCAAATTATTTTCTCTTTACTAGCAAGCAATTTTCAATATTAGTTTTTATGTTAGTAATTAAAATAAATTCTTTTTTTTTTACTGTATAAGCACTTGTAAAAGTTGATCTTATATAAAAGTTGTGTCCTTTAATATTTAATCAAATGTTTTTCAGTTATTTGGGCAAAAGTGATCTAGTTATGCTTTCCTCAGAATATATTCAACATTTGCTTCTTCATCAAATCTTGGAAAATTAAGATGATAGGAAAATTATACACCCTTGTGCAAATTAATTGAAGCAAAAAAAAAATAATTCCATTATTATTTACTTTTTCTCATATTTTTCCAATGAAACATGTCCCAGTACATATGTTAGTACTTCATATGTCCATTCCACGAAGTTGTTCCTTGCAGATTCTCAATTGAATTTAAACAAGGAGAGTTTCCGGGCCAGTTTATAGTACTTTGATTTGCTCATTGGTAAGGCTTGCCAGTGTGTTCATGCAGCGTTACAATTTTTGTACGCCTCCTTGGAATAACATCCATCTCAGACAATGGCTGTAGGACAACTAATCAATAGTCAAGACAATAGTGTCTGGGAGTGATAAAAATCTGATGCAATCACAGATGACACAATATTTTTCAAGGCCAAACAAATTTCATCATATACCCTGAAAATAGATTCATATTACTGCACACTACTGCAAATGACCTAATCTGAGGAAAAATAGAAATTGACACATTCTGTTACTCTAGTGGGTCTAAAACTGACCGTATAGTGAAAGAAAGGAAACTAAAGTAATTGTTACAATTAATTTGCACAAGGGTGTATTGCACTGATGTATTACATGTTATAAGTGTTATAGTGGAACACACCTATTCTATAGTTAATAGACTCTCCTACCTATAATAAGTAGGAGTAGTAAGAGTAACGAGTCAGTCACTGAGTTGCTCAGTGGAGTTGGTCAGTCAGTCAGTTGATGCCGGACGACCGTTAGTCGGATATTAAAGCATCAGCGACCACAACTAGATTTCTCTGCATTATACCTATTATATCAAGTTCCTAACATTTTGTACATCGAACCTATTTTAGGACCGACTTAGTACAAATACAAGCCTCCACTGTGAAATCACTCCATAACAATAAGTCAATTTGCCTTGAAAGTCAGCATTCAGTATTGTTATGAAATTATTGTTGCTAGATTTGGCTGAGAAAAATTGACTTGCTCAATACAGTGAACCACGTTTCCTAGCCGCAGACCTAGCAATTGATTCAATATAACTTTTTCACTTCATGCCAATGGAAGACATTAGCCCAAGAAGGTGTAGTGAATGATTCTCCCGGTGGTTAGTATCAGCCATGGTTTATTGGTCTTCAGAGTTGGTTTTGGGAAAGATTCCTTGAAACAATCAAGAAATGCTTGAAGAATGGAATTATTTTAAGACGGATTTAAAGTCAATTTCATTTCTTATTTCACTTTCTAGAATATGTCGAAATTTGAAAATGAAGATGATTTATCAGCTCAAGTTTCACAGAGAGACACAATGCTGCAGCATTTACTGTGGATTTTAAACAGCTCAGCTTTACTTGGGCTGGGTCCAACAGCTGCAGAATTAGGAAAACAGCCAGAGAAGGAAAGAGCCACACCCGAGGCATTGAAAAAACTGTAAGTTCATCAGTTTGTGCACATTTTTTATTAAATCATAACATTTCGGCTATCATTCCCTCTGTACTTCTTCCAATTCGGGTATACATCAGGGAAATTCAAACAGAACCCTTTATTTAATCTACAGAGTAGATTTTTCTTATTTCATAGTCCATGTCTAGGGATATCTCATCTTGTTCATATTTAGTACTTCTCAGTTATTGCTCGCCCTGTTTCCACCAATCAATAGCTGAGGGGAATTACAAACTGAGCTCTTTATTTAATCTCTGGGAGTCAGATTGTTCTTTTTTTCACAGTTCATGTCTAGGGATATCTCATCTTGTTCTTATTTTAGTACTGCTCAGTTATGTAGAATAACAATACAATAAACGACACTTACCGGCGTAAGAGTTCCAGCTAGCGTCCAGCTGGCAGACAAAAATAAAGCAGGTTGTAACTTAATACAAACCCTGCAAACTAACTGAGAAATTAAGCTGGTATTTATATAGAAATACTTCCACTCAGGTACCAGCAGCCAATCACAGCCCAAGCAATGGACTATCCCACTTTAGCATAATGAGATGCTCCATTGCACCATAAATAACTCTCTTCCTCAATGTTGAATCATGATTCACTCAGCTTACTCCACAACTGAGTGTTTATCTTGACCATGTGATTGTTCGACAAGTTATTGCTCACCCTGATTCTACCAATCAATAGCCAAGGGGAATTATAAACTGAATTCTTTATTTAATCTCTGGGGGTCAGATTCTTCTTGTTCCACAGTCGATAGATACAGAGAAAGGTTTTTGGGAGTTGGTTCTTACACATCAAACAATGTAGACGTTCCTTTTGTCTCCCAGTGGAGGGGCAGAGCAACTCCAATACCTAGTTAGAAATGTACACGTCGACGTGTTCAGTAAAATAGTTAAGATAAATTTCTCTTTGTTGAATTTCTTTCATCTCTCGAACCAAAACAACTAGCAATCACCGGCCAGAAGATGACAAGGAGAAAAGAGAGAAGTCTCAGCATATGAGTGAATCAACACCATCGCCCAAGGCCACCTCCACGAAGAGGATATGCAACACAAATTTTTTGCTTCCCTGCTGTCTACAGTCTCCAAAAATTTAAATGCAATGCTAAATTACCATTTTCTGTCTTCCTGAAACCTCTTCTTTTATTCTTTTAGTCCTGGGTATGACAATAAACTACATCCGCATCCTGGATAAGACAATAAACTAATCTGCATCCTGGGTATGATGATAAACTACATCCGCATCCTGGGTATGACGATAAACTACATCTGCATCCTGGGTATGACGATAAACTACATTCGCATCCTGGGTATGATGATAAACTACATCCGCATCCTGGTTATGATGATAAACTACATCCACATCCTGGGTATGACGATAAACTACATACGCATCCTGGGTATGACGATAAATTACATCCACGTCCTGAGTAAGACGATAAACTATATCTGCATCCTGGGTATGACGAAAAACTACATCCGCATCCTGGGTATGACGATAAACTACATACACATCCTGGGTATGATGATAAACTACATCCACGTCCTGGGTAAGATGATAAACTACATAAGCGTACTGGGTAAGACAATAAACTAAATCCACGTCTTGCGTATGACGAAAAACTACAACTACATTCTGGGTATGACGATAAACTACATCCACATTCTGGGTATGACGATAAACTACATCCACATCCTGGGTATGATGATAAACTACATCCGCATCCTGAGTATGATGATAAACTCCATCCGCATCCTGGGTATGATGATAAATTACATCCACATCCTGAGTAAGACGATAAACTACATCCGCATCCTGGGTAAGACGATAAACTTAATCCACGTCTTGGGTATGACGATAAACTACATCTGTGTCCTGGGTAAGAAAATAAACTACATCTGCATCCTGCATATGACAATAAACTACATCCAACAGCAAGGCCTCTGATCAGGAGGCTTTGAGGAACGTGGAATGAACTCTTAATTGCCCAGGTCCACCCTGACCCGTGGTTGTAACACCTGTTAGGGTCCCAGCTATGGGCAAATAGTTAATATCCAAACTTGTGTAAAAATAGGTTATAATAACCAGAAATACTTTGTTAAAAAAAAAATTATGAACAATAATTTTTGTAGGAAAAATTATTATTAGCAATACTTAAAAAAAATACCAGCAATACATCAGCTTTACATTTTAAAAAAACTCATTACCAGCTATAGATGTCTTGAAGGAAAAATATTCTCAGAAATAGATTTTTGAAAATAAATATATTACCAGCAATAAAATTTTTTTTTGGCGTTAAATAATCCATTGAGGTGTTGATATGCCGTAAAACAAACTAATGTATGCCAATTAGTGGTGTCACTAACCAAGCACTATCACAGAAACCTTATTTGATCAGACAGGTATCTTAGCTTAAAAATAATATCTTTGACCATGTCATAGCTATATATAAAAAAGAATTTACACTCAAGCCTAAATCAAAACTTTCTGTATCAGTCATTCACTTTTTAAAAATAATATATTTTTTTACTCTATGTCTTTCCATTCGTATGAATGTATTCATCTTGGTTGCTATACTCAAAATGCATTGGATGTTGTACTTCCTTGGGTGTCTGTCTTTGAATTTTGAACTGAACACTTTATTCAATCAATAGTGATGGATAGTTCTTATTCCACTTTCCAGACTTAGAAATCTCTCTTACCAGTTAATAATCATCACTATTATTCACCATCACATTGCTTGTCTGTTTCTTTCACTGAACCAGAGGATATGAAATATTGAACTGAACCCTTTATTCAATCCATAGGGGTGGATAGTTCTCATTCCACTTCATCCATCTCTTCCCACCAACTATGAGTTAAGTAGTTTGACTTGTTTAGTGGAAAAATCATTGTTATTCTCCAAAAACTCAAATATTCACTTACCAGAAAAAAATAATTATTCTTACATTTCAAAATGTTTCAACTTTTAATAACCTAGAAAAGGTTGACAATCCATAAAAACAGTCAATATGATTCTGCTTTCCATGCTTAAAGGAACTCTTTTACTGTTATGGTCCAGGTTAGGACCAAGGAAGAACAACATGAACACAAAAGTAGAAATAACAAAGGTATATTACACTAAATAATAATACAAGATGTGGAAGGTGTTGGTATGACTGTCAGTCTGGTTTGGAGTGAACTACTATCAGCTCGACTCGATTCGTCCCTCTCTCTTGAGAGCCATAGTATACATAGAGTTAGGAAGAGTTCATTCTGTAGTTATAGGTAAGGACCCATGACATTTACCATTTAGTACTCACCACTATTATTCACCATTGTGTTGATTGTCAGGTTCTTTCACCAAAGCAGAGGATATGAAATTTTAAATTGAATCCTTTATTCAATCCATGGGATGAACAGTTCTGTTGGGATCTGTCTGTTTGTTGCTGAGTTTTGGGATTCCAAACATTTAATAGCAACAACAACAACACAGTGAAGTTTCTTTTAACTTACTTATTATAAAACGCAGATTGTGTGTGTGCATGTGTCTGTACGTTTATATATTGGATCGGATTTCCTACATTTTTCAACCAATTTCAACAAAACTTCACAGGACTACGTAAAATTACCTTGCAGTGGTTCTGACAACGCCAAAAATTGGAAAAGCACAATTGTTTTTGCATGAAATCAATTTGAAAACACGATTAAGAGGTTGCTGTCAGGAGAAGGAAAGGGGGACAACTCATATCGAGTTATACTTATTATAAAAACCCAGGTTGTTTGTGTGTGTGTGTGTGTTCCTTTATATATGGGATTGAATTTCCTACATTTTTCAACCGATCTCAACAAAACTTCACTTTTTTTTTTTAGCAGGTAGTCTTTCTTATTGTCTTGCACACTTTTTTCTTTATTTTTACAATCAGAATGCTTTAAAAATTCCATTTACAAGAATTGTTTATAATAAAATTCTATTCAATCAGTAGACTCATAATGATTGAAAACAATGTTTTTGTTTGAGTTTGGGTTTGACCAATTTGTAAAAAAAAAAAACCTAATTAAGAAATGCGTGTCCGTCAACCTTAAACAATAATCTTTGTCAATTTTATTTTTCAGTCTTTATGATGGTCGATACTTGATCTATCTCTTACTGTTACATCCCCGGGCAACGCTGGGCTCTACAGCTAGTCTATTATATAATGGTGGAATTTATCTGTTCTGTTAGCACAGTACAGCCTTTTCTATTGATTTAATTCTTTTTTTTTTGTTCCCTTTTACTTTACATTCATTGCTTTGGCTGCTTCCTCGTTAGGGTTTAGAAATTACCAAAATCAACAGAAAAAAAGACAAGCTTAAGGCATGTGGTACATACTGTTTCTATTCTCCTAATTCTACCCCTATAGCAATGCAGACACGTGTAACAGGGTAGTTAAGTTGGTGTTGATGTAGTAGTAATCCTGACTTGATATTATTTGAGTGCTGTTAAAGTAATTACCCTATTGCCATATGTATTTGTAGTGTAGAGAATCCTCTTCTCTTTTGAAAACAAAATGAATTAAAATTTTCAACAATAATATAAACAATAAAAACTTGAGACACGTGTTAACATAAATAGCAAGAATTTGTATTTTTTTGTTTTGTGATGTGAATTACAGAATATTGGAATGGTGTGTGTAAAAATGTTCTCAGTGTGTCTTTTGTTTAAAAGTCAGTGCTTACTGTTACGTTAACCCCATATTTGTACCCTCACCTCAGATTTTATAAGTATATTTTCAGTACCTTGTGTATTTGCAACGAAACATATGAATCTTAATAACTTCTTTATTTCTTGAATATGCAGATTGTGAGATATATATTGTTTTTATAACCAGATGAGTCAGGGCCAGTTCTCGGAAAAGAACCTTCCCTTCCTCCCCCCATTTCCTACCTGGTCTCTGATGTGTAGGCCAAACAAATGCTGTTTAACAGATAGGTGCGAATGATATTAACCAGGTCCATAGTCATAGGCCAAATGGACGCTGTTTGACAGATAAGTGCGAATGACATTAACAGGGTCCGTGAATGATGCATACTTTTTTGTGGGGCCAACACGTGACTCAACATATAGCAGTTTTCATTTCGCACGTGTCGAGGTGACAATGATCTCACATAGCTGCTGGCTTTCAGAGGAATCGGACGTCACCAAAACCAGTCTTAGCTGTTTGCCGTTAGAAGAAGCAGTTGTCACCAAAACCAGACTCCGTTGTTTGATACCAGAAGAATTAGATGCCACCAAAAACCAAAGGGCCGACGAGAGAATCTAGAACAACATCCTCAACCCAAGTCAGCTACATTCCCGTGATTTTTCTGTGTGTCATCCTCGCCATCAACACGGATTGGACATCGCCAGTCAAAAACTCGTATTAGAATATTGACAATCCCATCCTTTACTTTCAGAGAAGTGTATGAATATCCTTTTGATCGAACTGTACCCCGATAATAGTCAATCAACGTCGATTCCAACCTTATGTAAGTTTCTGCATGTTTTTCTATATCTTATAATCTGCTATCTCTGTATTCATATGTATTTCGCCGCATTAGTATCTGTTTAATTGGTAACTTATCTCCCCATCCCTTGTATTATTTAGTTTTCTTTTTCTTACTTTGACACTTTGTATATTCTATAAATAAAATCTTTGTATTATATTCTCATGTCGTCTTCTGTTGTTCTGTGTCTGCGTATGGTTCATTTTCTCTCTGCGTTTACCGATGTCCGGAATTGGAGAATTCCCCTCCCAACGTTCTTTTCTTTATTTTTATATCAAACCTTGGGATCACTTACTTATTTTTTTTTATTTTCTCGTTGCATCCCGGCTATTGTAGTCTCAACAAAACCCTGGGCGTAACACTTACTTAGTTTGGTCCCCGAGATTTTGTTTGTTAGGATGGCATTTGTCATGGTTTGCTTCTGAGAATTTTGTTTGTGAGGATGGCGTTTGATATGATTTGGTTCTGAGAATTTCGTTTTTTAGGATGACGTTTGACATCATCTCTTTTCGATCTTCACAAGTGCTGGCAAAGATGTGAGTTTCTGTACTACTACTACTGTCTACTGGTTTACTGCTATAGGGTACCCTAATCTACACTACTGACTATCTTGTGGTGGAAGGGTCGTTTTTATAATGATGAGGGTAGGATGATGAAATATCCTTCTTTTCTATCATTGCTGATGACAAGGTTATTTTTAGAATGATGAAATATCCTTATGTTTTTATTATCACTGATGGCAAGGTTATTTTTAGAATGATGAAATATCATCATCATTCCAGACCATAACACACATACCAGGAGGCAGGAGTATTGCTTATCTGGAGCTACTCCATCTTCATTCTCCAGCATTGGTAGAGTTCAAAATCATTTATAGATTGAAGAAGTCAGTTCCAATGCCTTCTTGTGAGAAATGGAGCACTGCTGCTTTATATGTGTTGGAGCTGCACAGTCTTCATTTTCTACTCTCAATGGAGTCCAAAAGTGCTTGCATCCTTATGAGTGATGAATTATTTTCCTGTCTGCTCTGTTGCTATTCTCATGGAGAGTGTTTCAGTGAAAAGTGAAGTCTGGGCAGCTGCCGCCAATATATGGTAGCAGTACTCCATTGGAATGATACAGAGAACTGACCATTTTTCCAACATCTTTAGCAGTGGCTCGGATGGATGAGTTCCACTTAAGATCTGGGGGCTGAGTTTAAATCCTAATAAGCACTCAAGGTACTTAGTAAAAAAAAAAAAAAAAAGATTGAAAAATTTTTATTCAGAATGTATTCAGCCATTCTGAATATCCCAAAAACTGGTTGTGCAGCCTTGATGTAAACTTACAGTCAATCAAGTGATGGGGACTTTACTGTACGTGCATGAACAGACACTCTCTTGAGAGCTTGTGTACTGTGTGACAGTCATTTGTTATCTGTTCTGCATACAAAACACTTTTCAGCTCAACCCAATAAATTTAACTTTCTAAAGTGACTAAAAAAATTTCAATACAGACAAATGACTTAGCTTGAGGAAAATCTGATGAAAACTAACCTACAAAATTTATTTCCCCAAAAAACTACATTGAATAACTGTGTAAAAAGTCAGGGATCGATTTTACACTGTATTGATATTATGAACAGAACCCCCTTTCTAAATCGATTAAAAAAATTTTGATTCTGACAAATGACTTAGCTTGAGGAAAATCTGATGAAAACTAACCTACGAAATTTATTTCCCAAAAAACTACGTTCAATAACTGAGTAAAAAGTCAGGGATCAGTTTTACACTGTATTGATATTATGAACAGAACCCCCTTTCTAAATCGATTAAAAAAATTTTGATTCTGACAAATGTATCTTGAGAAAGGTCCAATTAATCTATAAGAATTATTTCCAATTTATTTCCCCTATTTGTCTTTTTAAGTAGTACTCTTCTGTCCTTCAGGTTATAATCAGAAGCATTAAGTTACCTAGTCTTAAAACATTTTAGGTTAGTTATATCAAGTTTCTCGTGCAGGAAAATCAACACTAAGACAAATTAGACAATTTGTTTGACCCAACCATTTTTAATGAAGAAATTTATTTCCATGAACAACTATTGTTCCAAATGTTTTAAAACGGATTAATAAAAATCATTAAATAGTAATAACTACAACATACTCACACCCAATCACAGACTAATCAAATGTGATGAAAAGTCAACCTGTAGAGTCCATTTTCAATGAGGAAATTTATTTCCATGTACAATTTCTGTATGCAGAAGAGTAAAGTCCAGATAACTCTGTAAAAAGGCTGTGGTCGATTTTAAACAGTATCGATAATATGGACAACACATCAATTCTAAATTGATAAAAAATCAACATTTTTTGATCCACATGTAATGGCTTGTGTAAGCTCTAAATTGATTGATTCATTAATGTGTTTTTTATGGCTTATCAACTTTTTACAGGTTATTTAAAGCCAGAAAATATTTTGAGACCATAAGAACTTTTAGCAGATAATAATGATTTACTGATAAAAATCCTACTAATTAACCCATAGCTGGGAGGAGAAGTGGTAGATTAATATGTTTTCCAAAAGTGAAAAGAGGGAAAAAAAAACGCATTTACGTTTTGAAGCGTTCAGAAAGCAAGAATGGCAGATTGAACTAGTGGTATCTTGATTTGTACAAGTGACATTGTAGTTATAGAGACTCATTTAAACTTCAGTGATTGAAGCCAAGATGCTATGTTAGGACCAATAACATTGCAGATTTTGTCAAAATTTTTAACTGAACCCTTATTTGTGTATAAGTGAATATAACGACCACATCTATAATTAGATTCCCTGATTTCCAATTCTTTACACCACCTTTACATCCAAGCTTACAGCACCTGGTATTCCCAAGGAGTTACCCATCTAGATACTGACCAGGTTTGATGTTGCTTAACTTCAGTGATTATATGTGAACTGGTGTTTCCCCATGACATGGTTGTAAGCGGAGTAAACTCTAAAGAGTGTTAATGTACAAAAATTACCACCACCACCACCAAGATTTTTTACTATTTTTTTTATAAGTAGGCCAATGCAGTTTCCAAAGATTTCTCTGAATGTTCTTTAACCATTTCATATTGATTGCAGGCTCTTGCCACCTATTTCATCTGGGACAAAAGGCAAAGAGGCCGGATTAGCACATTACAATCTTGGAGATCTGGGATTTGTACCTCGATTGAGTCAACAAATTCCAACAAGTCTGGATAAGATGCGCTCTTTGATTCCAGTTCAACAAGCTGGTGCTCGTAGATTGCTCACTCGGTCGATTGGTGTACAAACAATGAGTGCCACGAAAGTAAGTCTTTTCGTTTGTCATTCATTACTTAAATGTTTTTCTTTTGTCAGATTTTTATGGATTGATATTTTCCGTTACTTACAGTGTTCAGACTGTTGTCCACATCTTTATTGCCATATTCACAATATTTCAGCTGTTATATGCTGCAGCCTTCTTCAGATGATTGGAATTTTGAACAGAACCCTCTATTTTGTCCAACAGGATAGATCGTTCTAGTTCCACGTGCCATGCCTCTTCTGGGTGTCTCGGTTATTTCTATCTCAACTCTCTCAGTTTCTTTCACCACTGCTGTAGCCAGGTATTGAACTCACAACACTTTGGGTCAAGTCACTGGATCCAATCAACACTTTTATCCACTGGGCTATGCATCCTTGAGAATAAAACCGTTCCAAACACCTGAAGAAGGTCAGAGTGTACAATGGCTGAAATGTTGTGAATATAGAAATAAAGATGAGGACAACAGTCTGAACAATGTAAATAGTGTAAATGATTACAATATCTCATCTCACAAATATAGACAGATCCTGAAGAAGGCCAGAGCATAAAATAGCCGAAACGTCGTGAATATGACAATAAAGATGAGGACAACAGTCCGAACAATGTAAATAATGTAAATGGTCATGTCATGTAAGAAATTCAACAAATCCTTACCAATAACAGAAATAATTTAAAATAATTTTTTTTTTATATCCCGTGACCTGTACAGTCATAAGGACACCATGTTTACTGCAGCTAAAGTAGAAGTGGTGTTTCTTTGGGAAGATAGCCTGACAGAGCCCAACCCTTTCCAGGCTGGTTTTGAATTCAGAGTTTTTCCTTCTCTTAGACTGGTTGCCGCCCATGATTATAGAACCCAGTCTCTGACTACAGATATTGATTGCTTTAAGCATAATTAAAGCAATTAATATCTGTAGTCACCTTTACAGCTATATAATATTTCTGCATAGGAGGCACAGTGGAGTAATGGATAGTGGCTCGGATTGAGGAATCAGAGAGGCGTTTAATTCTAGTCTTAATCCATTACATTCTTACGTGCTAATACCCTTGGGAAAGGTATGAATCCTCTTCTTCTCTCTTGATTTATTTATTAACACAAACAAAACAATTTATTATAATTTATAATAAAAAAGGCACTGTGGAGTAATGGATGGCATGTTGGATTGAGGAATCAGAGGCGAGTTCAATTCTAGTGAATCCATTACATTCACTTACGTGCTAATACCCTTGGAAAAGGTATGAATCCTCTTCTTCTCTGATTTATTAATTAAAACAAACAAAACAATTTATTATAATTTATAATAAAAAGGAGGCACTGTGGAGTAATGGATAGCCTTTCGGATTGAGGAATCAGAGGCGAGTTAAATTCCAGTCGAATCCATTACATTCACTTACGTGAAAAATACCCTAAGGAAAGGTATGAATCCTCTTCTTCTCTCCTGATTTATTTATTAACACAAACAAAACAATTTATTATAATTTATAATAAAAAGGAGGCACAGTGGAGTAATGGATAGTGGCTCGGATTGAGGAATCAGAGAGCCGAGTTCGAATTCCAGTCGAATCCATTACATTCACTTATGTGCTAATACCCTTGGGAAAGGTATGAATCCTCTTCTTCTGCCGCCAGCTATGGGTAAATAGCAAGACAGACTGACACGAACTCAGTCCACACCGGGATTGATAAGACAGATGAGACAACTTATATTTTCATCTGCCGAAATAAGCCTATTCCCTATATGAGCTGATTTGGGATTTTATTGTTTATTAATTATTTGCTCTGTAATAATAAATACATTGAGCTTTTTTTGTGGACCAGTTTTAATATTTTATATTACTAGGATCCACTTGGATTATATACCAATGAATTTATTACTTTTACTATATATATATATATATATATATATATATATATATATTGCACATTATTAAGCTTCTAAATAATAATAATCTATTAAACAATAGACATGAGTTAACGGTTTTTTGTCGACATCATCAGATTCATGGTTTGAATAATTAGCTAAAAACAAGTATACAATATAATAACTTGATTAATCCTTAGCCCAATCATCAGATTCATGGTTTGAATAATTAACTAAGAACAAGCATACAATATAATAACATGATTAATCCATAGCCCAAATAAATAGTTTAAATACCTTACAAAAAAGATAACCCTTTATGAAGTTGTCAAAAAACAAACGTTACGGCAGATTTTTTATGTGCACAAATCCCTTTCATAAAAAAATAAAATAAAAAAATAAATAAATCTCCATAGACACGCATACCAGACTAGGGTTAATACATCTTCCGTTTCAAATTTAGACACCCCCACATTTCCCTGACTTGACATCCATGAAAGTAACTCTATACTGATACTTATTATTAACACCCAACACACGCCTACCCAATTTAAACAATTCGCTCTAGCTGTTACCATGGAAATTTTGATTTCAATTATTAAAACACGTAAATTTCAGAAATACGTTATTCCAAAAAAAAATTTCGCTTGAAGATGGAACAGAGTTTACTTTAACTCAATTTAATTCAAATAATTATATTGAAGTTTAAATAGATAATTTATATATATATATATATATATATATATATATATGTGTGTGTGTGTCTGAATAAAGACAAAATGAAAACTTATCTTAGAAGTCATGTTTCATTCTCTAATGAACTTTATCAAGGCAAATGTAAGGATTTTATTTTGCAACAAGTATTCATAAACAAAACTAAAAATATCATTAGCTTTTCAAAATTTTTAAATTCAAGAATGCTCATTCACATTGGCTAAATTAAGTTTTCCTTTTGTCTTTATTCATATTGTCCTTATATTTTTTGTAATATCTGAAATTTTAAACATATATATGTTTACCCAATATGCAAATGAAGTAATTTTAAGCCCATTGTACCCCAAACTTACTACTACCAGTTACAATGAACAGATGTCCCCTGAATACTGGGCCTCAAACTCACACCTGATCTCAAGTGGAACTTGTATATATGATCCATCATTAAAAAATGCAAGTAAAATGATCAGCTTCCACTAATATTCTAATTCGTAGCTGACACCTCATGCTATCCTTTACCTTTACAAGAGTCAGGTAAGGCTGAAAAATCCTGGAGAAGAGTTATTTTCACCCTCAGACCTCTCTCTCACAGGCGGAGGTGTGGCAAGTCTCTCACTGCTCTATTGGTACTTCTATGGAACGTACTCAGATGAACTATATTCTTTGGTTCTGTCAGGCCTAACCTTCCCGGCTAGCACCCGCTATCTCATTTACCTTGTAGCAAACCATTCACATTCCTATTTTCTATTGGTGAGAACTTCCACTCAAACAGCTTCTTCCTATTAACTACTTCTCTGTTGAAAAGACTCCCAAGAGCTTGCTTCCCCAATCACTACAATCTTAACCTGTTCAAGTCTAGAGTTTCTGTCTATATTTCTAAGATGAGATATTATGTACACTATTTACATTTCTGAGATGAGGTATTATGTACACTATTTACATTATTTCTGAGATGAGGTATTATGTACACTATTTACATTATTTCTGAGATGAGGTATTATGTACACTATTTACATTATTTCTGAGATGAGGTATTATGTACACTATTTACATTATTTCGTACACTATTTACATTATTTCGTACACTATTTATATTATTCCCCCCCTCCCAAGTTCTCCACTGCCTTAACTGGGTATGGAACTCAAATCCTTTGGGTCCTGTCACTGGATCTAACCAACACCTTTATCCACTGTACCAAGGACACATGGCACAGTGGATAAAGGCATTGGTTAGATCCAGTGACAGGACCTAAGTTAGAGGGGAATTAACAGGAGATAACTGATAACTGACATCTATTAAACATAATACGTGGAACTAGAACAATCTACCCCAGTGAGCAAAATAAAGAGTTCAGTTCGACATTCCAGCCACCTGAAGAAGGCCGGAGTGTACAATGGCCGAAACGTTGTAATAAATATGGCGACAAAGATGAGGACAATAGTCCGATTAATGTAAATAGTGAAGTCAAGAGATAACCGTTATTTTACCCTCCTATCTGTATATAATTATCTTTTAATGTAACCCTCTATCTCAAGCAGCCCCTGGTGTTATTGTTCTGTTGCTGTTAGATTAAGATCTCCCCCCATCATTTGGTAGGTTTTTGATAGCAGCAGCAGCATGTTTATCTCCCCTACAGTTCTTAATGGACTCAACCTCTCAGCCTTTTACAGGTTGAACCTTATTGTAATAAGAAGAAAAAAAATACAGGGTGTCCATAAAGTTCGTGTGCACTTTAAAAATTTATAACTTTATTTGTATTTGTGATAGAAATAATCTGTAAAAAAATGTTATAAAGTTTAATGTACCGAGTTTTAAGAATAGCTAAAATAACTAATGTGATTTCAAGCATTACTGTAAATCAGTTGGCAAATGTTTTCCGTGAACTGCAAAATCGTATTATCCTTTGTATTGCTAATGATGGAGGACATGTGGAAACTTAAATAAAATTTCAATAAAACCTTAAAAAAATATAGATTTACTTCTTTCTAATCCTTTTTACAAATTATTTCTATCGCAAATATAAATAAAGTTATAAATTTTTTCAAGTGCACACGAACTTTATGGACACCCTGTATTTTTCCGAATTTTACACATTTTCTGTTTTAATTTTTCTCCCTCTCATCTTTTAAATTTCAGGCTTTATTCTTTGCTGAAAAAATGCTGGCTCACAGTTCCTTGTCCACGAAGAATCCACTGTCCGATGCTCGTAGCCTGAGTTCTCTTATCACGCCACCTTTGCTCAGCCCAAAGATCAGTGTTAGTATCAGAAATAAAGCCTCTTAAAAGTAAAAAAACAAAAAACAATAACATTGGCAAACTACCAGGAGTTGCTGAGGGTTTTTTAAGGCTTATTGAACAGATACTCCTAAAAAAAGAGTTCAGTTGAAAGATTTGGCATAGAGGAGTGGCAATATAAAAGTAATATAACGGTTGTGTGGCAATATGAAATTTATATGGCAATGTACAGGTGACATAACAGTGAGATCTGTCTGAAAAGTCTTCGGCCATTGAATTTATATTATAAAAGAAAGGCCAATTCTCTGAGTAACACATGCTGTCTGCATCAGACTTGGCATTTGGGTATGTGTTACGTTAAGTGATAAATTATAAATTTTTCTTTCTTTTCTTTTTTATTTTTCTTTCTTTTTTTCTTTTTCTTTTGTTTTTATTTTGTTTTTAACATTAGCTTCCTTTCCTTTCTGTATGTGTTTATTTTTCATTTTCCTTTTTTTTTTCTTTTTTGTTTCTTTTGTTTATTTCCTTTTTTCCTTTCTTTCTTTATTTTCCTTTCTTTCCTTCTTTCTTTCTTTCTTTATTTTCTTTTCCCTTTCTTCCTTTCTTTCTCTATTTTCTTTTCTTTCCTTCTTTCATTTCTTTACTTTCTTTTCATTTCCTTACTTCCTTCCTTTCTTTTTCTTCTCTGTTTCTTTTCTTTCTTTTTGTTTCTTTCTTTTTGTTTCCTTCCTTTCTTTTCTTTTCCTTCCTTCCTCTTTTTTTCTTTCTTGCTTTCTTTTCTTTTCCTTTCTTCCTTTCTCATTCTTTCTTTCTTGCTTTCTTTTCCTTTCTTTCTTCTTCATTTCCTTTCTTTTTCTTTCTTTCTTTTCTTTTCTTTTTTCCTTTCTTTTTTCTTTTCCTTCTTTCCTTTCTTTTCTTTTTTCTTCTTTCTTTCTTTCTCTTTCTTTCTTGCTTTCTTTCTTTTCCTTCCTTTTTCCTTTCTTTCTTTCTTCTTGTTTTTCATTTCTTTTCTTTTTCTTTCTTTCCTTTTTCTTCTTTCTTTCTTTAGTTTTCTTTTCTTTCCTTTCTTTTTCTTTTTTCTTCTTTCTTTCTTTTCTTTCTTTTTCGTTTCTTTCTTTTTCTTTTCCTTCCTTTCTTTTTCTTCTTTCTTTCCTTTTCTTTTTCTTTTTTTTCCCTTTCTTTCTTCTTGTTTTTGTTTCCTTACTTCCTTTCTTTTTTCTTCTTTCTTTACTTTTTTCTTTTTCTTTCCTTTCTTTCTTTTTCCTTTCTTTTGTTCCGTCTTTTCTTTTTTTCTTTCCTTTCTTTTCCTTTTTTCTTTATTCTTTCTGTCTTTCTTTCTTTTCCTCTCCGTCTATATTTCTTTCTTTATTTCTCACATGTCCTGTTAGACTATTTAAACTTTTTCCCTTATATCCAAACTATTAGGTTGACTCATAAGTAACGTCTGTTTTTGTTTATCAAGTTTATTCTTAAAAAAAAATAAAATAAAATACATTTTCTCCAATTATATATTCACAATTGTTTGCAATGTATCTTTGATTTGTCTGTGAGGGGGGCAACATTTTTTGTTTAATCCACTGTGTACGCTGCCACTGCCATACAAAAACTAATGCATGTTAGTCTATTCCTAATTTAGTCTTAACTGCCACATCTATATAATACTAAAAGTTTAACATTGCCTACGTGCTTGTGTGGTGTGTCCATCCAGTGCAGAATGATTTAACTTAATCTGATTTTAAAATATTTTAAGCAAATAAGATTTAAAAATACGAGTTCTTTATACCGTAAGTATTTTTATTTTAACTTTCTTCAAACAGACAATTTTTTTTAATTAAAATATCTTTATGTTAAAGACAGACACAAAGAGATCCCGCTTTGCTGTTTCGTCCAGTTGTTTGTAGAGTAATTATTTATATTTCAGCCTTCTTTAAATAAACAATATTTTAAATATTTAAAAAACATTTTTATGTTAATCTGATTTAAAAAATATTTTAAGCAAATAAGATTTAAAAATACAAGTTCTTTATACAGTAAGTATTATTATTTTAACTTTCTTCAGATAATTTTTTTAATTAAAATATTTTTAAGTTAAAGACAGGCACAAAGAGATCCCGCTTTGCTGTTTCATCCAGTTGTTTATAGAGTAATTATTTATATTTCAGCTTTCTTTAAACAAACAATATTTTAAATATTTTAAAAAAAAATAATCTGATTTAAAAAAATATTTTAAGTGAATAAGATTTTAAAAATACCAGTTAGTTCATACAGTATTTTTATTTTAACTTTCTTCAAACAGACAATTTTTAATTAAAATATTTTTAAATCAAAGACAGACACAAAGAGATCACGTTTTGCTGTTTCGTCCAGTTGTTTGTAGAGTAATTATTTATATTTTAGTTTTCTCTAAATAAACAATATTTTAAACATTTAAAAAATATTATGTTAATCTGATTCAAAAAATATTTTAAGTGAATAAGATTTTAAAAATACGAGTAAGTTCATACAGTAAGTATTTTTATTTTAACTTTCTTCAAACAGACAGTTTTTTAATTAAAATATTTTAAAGTTAGAGTTAGGCACAAAGAGATCCCGTTTTGCTGTTCTGCCCAGTTGTTTGTAGAGTAATTATTTACATTTCAACTTTCTTTAAATAAACAATATTTTAAACATTTAAAAAATATTTTTTGGCATATTTAAAAAATTGAAATTAAAAGTTTATCCCAGAAGTTCTATTCCTTTTAAATGCTGTAAACAATCAGTAAAAAGTTAAAAATGAACTTGTAAACCAGAACAATGATGACACGAATGAAGTGAAATATTTAACTGAATCATAATAAAATTAACTTTTATTTCAATGGAACGTTGAAATCAACTTCAATGTTTTATTACCTGAACCGTCAGTGACCCAACAGGTCACAGGTAGTCTAGCTTGATTATAAAACTCCCAATGATCATAAATTCACACAACCACCACACCAGCTAGACAACATCTTTTGATTCGTGGCAACCCAACATACATGTATAATGGTTAACAAACCCTGAACACGAGGTGTTCAATGCCATTGCCACATTCTCATATACCTGTATAGGTTTCCTATGGACAATAGCACCCCTAACAGTGCTACCAAGTAGTAGGTCTTTCTCTCAAAAGCACTGTGTATCTCAGTGAATTCCAATGTGGGAGTGTGGTAATTTTTCTCAAATGGTGATCACAGAAGAAAAGACAAATGCCAAAGAAAATCACAAACACTGTTGTCAAATCAACTACAGGTTTATTATAATGATATATATATATATATATATATATATAAAAGTGAACATAGAATTCAACACTTAGAGGCGACAGTCTGTTTCATGCTAGATGCAATTGTCAGGCCTGATGATTGCATCTAGCATGAAACAGACTGTCGCCACTAAGTGTTTTTCTTCTTGTTCTTGTAACGGCATTCACCCGGGGTGGTTTGAGCCGGCTCCAATATTGTAGTTTCATGGGAATTTGGAATTCACAAGCGGTTCCCAAACCCGCATGTAAGTGTTGACTTCTATATTCACTTTTATATTTACACACGCTCTATCTCTGATATTGAGCACTTTATCCCATAAATATAGCACATCTTAAGACTATATTTCTTCATATATATATAGAGAGAGAGATAGATAGATAAGTATCATTATTTAGCTTACTTGACAGACACAAAAAAATTCAAAATTCTTTTTAAAATATTACGTTCACTGAATTGTACTAAGTTATGATAAGTAAATATAGTTTTTACTTAATAACAATATCACGTAATCACTACAAATTGATACAAAAATTTAAAAGATTTAAAACTTTATAAATTATTCTAATTAAAATTTTTAAAAAATTAAAAACAGTTCTCGTAAAAATTCCTTATTCATTGATTTTTTTCCTTATGACAGTAGAGTCCATAATAATATCTTATTCATAAAAGCAATTAAAAGTTTTTCCAATTAAATAATGTCTTAGTTTTATTGCATTTTTTTATTTTATGATTCTGAGCAGATTTTAGGTAACTGGTGGTCCTGTTTTACAAAAACAAATTAATGATTTAAATTCTCCAAGGAGGTTACTTATCTAAGACATTTTTTTGATTAAGAATGCAGCAGTTTCCAGCAACAAGGGGCCAATGACCCCTGGTACAGCAAAAATCATCCACCCAATGATTCAGTTCAGACCCAACGGAAATGCTGGTCATCACTCCAGCATTGAAATAACTTCATTTTCAAAATGGGATTAACCCAGATAAGATTTATTTCAAAACAATCCAACCTGGGTAAAATTTGAGAACAGCAAAAACCTGTCATCGATCTGTCTCTTTGTGTAAGCCTGGGAATCTCTCAGTTGTACTGTTTTATTTTGTTTAAGTTGTCCCAGGTTCCAATCATCTTAGGGCCTGATTCATCTCATTTTATAGGTTTCAATCTATATTTTTACTTTGTTCATATTCACAATCTATCAAAGGCCAAGTTTTTCTGTCTCTCATTCCCAAATAGAATCTGCCTCAAATCACCATCACATGCACTAATAAATATCAAATTTGCCCTTTTATATGATTAGCAGAAACGATGATATATTCACTGGCAAATTTGGACCTTTTCCCTTGACACTGCTATCATTTTAACTACCTTCACTCCTCAGCTATATTTATTGTTTTCAAAAGCAATGATTAGAATTGGAATAAAACTTAAACATATGAAAGTGAACTTATACATTTTCTTTGTCCCTGTGGATTGAGAACAAAAAATAATAAAAACTATTTATTTATTAGATTGTTTACTGGAATGGTTGGCAAAACATCAGCTAATTGCCAATTGATTCAAAAGTTCCAATTCCTGTTGGGTTTGTTATATTCACTTACGTGCAAATATCATTGGGAAAGTGTTATAATGGAACACACCTATTCTATAGTTAATAGACTCTCCCACCTCTAATAAGTAGGAGTAGTAAGAGTAACGAGTCAGTTGCTCAGTGGGTCAGTTAGTCAGTCGATGCTGGACGACCGTTAGTCAGATACTAAAGTATCAGCAACCACAACTAGATTACTCTGCATCATACCTATTATATGAAGTTCCAAACGTTTTGTACGTCAAACCTATTTTAGGACCGACTTAGTACAAATACAAGCCTCCACTGTGAAATCACTCCATAACAGAAAGGTATTAATCCACCTCTTCTTCCCCCAGCTATGGGTTATTTAGTAAGACTTGTATCACTAAAACAATCATTATCTTCCCACACCAAATTCTTATAATCTAAATATATTTTCTGGCTTGAAATAACCTGCAAAGGGTTGATAAGCCGTAAAAAACGAATCAAGTGAAACTTATATATAGGATTTATTGCTAAAAATACTGAGAAAATGATTGGTTCCTGGTACCGCTCCAGTAAGTATCTGATTCCTTCTGCTATGATCTGTCTTTACAAGAGGTAGATCAGACCAAAAATGAAGTATTGCTGCTATACCTGGGCTGAAGCTGCTCAGTCATTACTTGCCTGTCTTAATAGAGTTCAAAAGTGGCCTTATGGGTGAGGGATTATTTTCCACCCTACAACCCCTTTCCCACAGACGAAACGTCTCAAGCCTCTCACTATGGCGTGTGTTCTGACAAGCTACATTCCTTGCTTCCACCAATCCTGACCTTTTCAACTCGGATATGCCATACCATCTACATGAAGGATGAATCATCCTCATCCTCTTCATATTCCATTAGCAAGAAGGAAGTTCCACTTGGACAGCTTCTCCCAAGAACTGCTCCCAAGAGGATGTTTTCCCAATCACTACAATCTTAACCTCTTTAAGTCTAGTGTTAACCATTATTTCTCGTATGTAACCTCATAAACTTTTCTTATGCTCATCATACAATAACTCTCTACCTTGAGTGGCTCTTAAGCCTTGTACTAGGCGAAAATTAGTAAAAAAACAAAAATATTATTTTGTTCATTACTTTGGTTTGCATACTGTAAATACAGTACATTTATTAATTCAGACATTAGCTTTATAAGTCCCCAAAATTCATACACTAATGGATAGGGGGAAAATTATCTCAAAGACAGAAACAGAGGGATATTACTCAGAAAACAGCCTTGGTCCTACCATATGTGAATGGCTTATTGGAAAAGATTCAAAAGATCTGTGTTCCATAGAACATCAGGACAACCTTCAGGAATGGTTCAACACTATGCAGAGATCTATTCCAAGTATAACCACCCATATAGGAGAACATTATTAAGGTCTGTGTGTATGCCAGCTCATGCAACTGTAGCAAGAGATATAATGGAGAAACAAGCCACCCCCTTAAGATAAAACTACAAGAACATTGTAAATCCATAACACAAGAGGAAATAGGCATGGCTGACTATAGAGGGAAAAGGGAGATCACTGCCCTCTGTGGGATGAAGATGA